GTTTATGGACAAGAACTTGTGCTTTATCTGTTGCTAAGCTACGTTTAACTGCTGCGCGACAAAGTTAAAAAAACAGTAAAGTGTCTCTTGTCATGCGATAAATAGTCTTATCTCACGCTATCAGTTTGTCATGTAATTAAGCACGTGATATTTCATGAGTGTCGTAAGAGAAATAAACTCGCGCCTTGTTGCGTGTGTACAGGCATGCATCTACATTGTTAACAACATGGCCGAGCAGTTGAGAAGGCGTGGCAAGTAAGAGCGCCAAAATACACTGCTCTTAACAATGGCGTTACCTTGTGCTGTTCACAACAAATTAGAAACTTCAGTCAGTTTATTTTTATCTTGCTATCGAAAGAGTTACTAATTTTATATTTAAAAGGGAAAACTCTAAGTAATATAAGATTAATAGGTTTATGGTTAATTCTGATTCAACTTCGCTTTCTTAATGGCGAAAGAAGCATGTTTATAAGAATATTATTCGACGTTTATCCACATTTCAGCTCTTGAGCCAGTTGAAGGAGCATCACGAAATTTATTCTGAGTGAAATGCCGTTATACTTCGTACATCATACCTTTGCTTTCCTGCACTCGGTAGCAGACACATGATTGTCGTAGGAATTTGTAAGCTGGGACGGACAGTGACGTCATATGTGGCTATAAGAGATGTGTGGCAATAGGTGTTCAAAGATATGCTACTTCTATTGAGGTAATTTGTTCATAGAACGTAAAATAGCAATAGCAGCAGCAATAACAGCAGCAGAAACAACAGCAACAACATCATTATCATCATTGACAACAACTACAGCAACAGCAACGAAAGCAGCAGCAGCAGAAGCAACAACAACAACAACAACAGAAGTACCAGTAGAAGTAACAACAACAACAACAACAGAAGTACCAGTAGAAGTAACAACAACAACAACAACAGAAGTACCAGTAGAAGTAACAACAACAACAACAACAGAAGTACCAGTAGAAGTAACTACAACAACAACAATAGCGAGAGCAGCAGCAACAACAACAGCAACAAAAGCTGCAGCAGCAGAAGCAACAACAACAGCGAGAGCAGCAGCAACAACAGCAGCAAAAGCAGCAGTAGAAGCAACAACAGCAACAACAATAGCGAGAGCAGCAGAGACAACAATGACGACGACAACGGCAACAGCAACTACATAGGCTGGAAGTATTTGAAAACAGTGTTCTGAGATGGGAGAATTGGTAGGAGGCTATTTTTCTTGGATACGACATGGACCGCATAGAGAACGATGCCCCCAACAATTCTTCGTTGCAGTGGCAACGTCTTTACCGAGTTGTTGCCTAGCAACGAAAGGAAGGATAGACCTTACCAAGCCTCTGCCTACCAACAGTAGGAGGGCTACACATAGAGAGACACAAACTGGTGAGAGGGCTTTATTAAGTATGCCGTTGAGGTGGGCTTAGTTGCCGAGTAAAGAATGGTGGAGCTACATCTCAACTTCCCCATATGTTTTCATGGCTTCGTGCTTATAACAAAGGATTTATTACCTACATCTCTGTTGTGAGTCTGTCTATATGGTGGAGACTTGACCGTCTACTTAATTTAATCTGCATTTGCTTCTGGAACATCTTTCTAGATTCTAAGAGAACAGCTTTGTTTTCATTTGTAGCATTTACGCTTCCGCATAGTATATTAACACGAACAGTATTGAAGAGAAACTAATTTGTTGAAATCAATTTAATTTTCTCTGTATCTCATTGGCCTCCATACTTGTGTTGGAAAGCACTTAACGGTCAATCATCTTTTTTCAGACCATTATATAAAACACATCAAACAAATGACAAATACACGGAATATTGCGTGTTTTGTTTGATTAAATACGCTTTAATTAGCCTAACTACTTGTTTTGGATAGTCGATATCAAATTCATTGAAATAAAAAGTAAACTGAAGAGAAATTCAAAATTGTCTTTTTGTATGTATTGCGTTGTGTAATCGCGAGTAAATTCAGTTAGACGTTCCATTTCTCTAGTAGACCCTCTCTGTGATTATTTTACACTTTCATTCGTCATTCATTCATTCATTCATTCATTTATCGATGGCTGTACAGCCCTTAATTGGACCCTGGCCTCTTCTTCAGTTTCGTAATCTCTCCTTACACAGACGGTAGGACTCCTTGGACGAGTTATCAACCCGTCGCAAGGCCGCTACCTACACACAGAACAACACAAACACAGAATAAACGCAGACGATACAGACATCCATGTCTTGGGGATTCGAAACCATGATCCCAGCGTTCGAGCTAACGAAGATAGTTCATACCTTAGACCGCGCGGCTAATGTGGCCGGTATATTTTACATCTACCTCAACTCTGAGAGGTACGTCTTCCTCAGCTTTAATCAAGCTGGTAAAAATATGATATAGTGAATGGCACGTTGAATATAGACATTGACTCCAAGAGCTAATTACTTGACTTAATGTTTAATTCTTTGATTAGTACAATTAAGACCATAAATACTATGGTTTGTATAGTGACACTATCAATGTGGAGGTAGGGTGTTACACGACACCCTGAGTTGTGAGACAGAAAAGAACTGGTCGTGAGTCCCGTGGGAGTCGGAACCAAGAATTATTGTGCTGGCGATGACCAGCAGCAATTTACTCAACGCGACAAAATGTCGAGTTGAGTAAATTAATGTCAAAATGTGTGCCGTCGGATGATAGAGTGATTAGTGAATAATAAATTGGGAAGATTATGGAAGGAAACGTTTGTGTTCTGATTTGAAGCACTATACCAGAAATTTCCCGGGGAGAGAGGATGTTAGCTGCCCTCTGAGCCAAGATTTGAACCCAGTACCTCCCGAATATTAAGCACAGTGCTCTAAACTTGGCCACGAATTTCGGTGAGACTCGTAAGTCGTGAGAAGTTTATCTACGTGGAAGTTGTAAATGCACAACTTCTACTCCTGCTGTACTGCTGCTGTCATAATTGAACTGTGAACTGACTCATGTCGCTAAGAGAGCGGTCGTGAACTACTTCGAATTTCTATTTACATTCACCTAGGTGGACAGAGGACAGTGCCAATATAAATCATGCGTAATTTATTAAAAATTAATTTTTTGCTATTTTGCATTCCTTATTTGCCGTAACGATCATTGACGACAAATAAAAACATTATTTATGGAAAAATTACTTCTCTATAAGTATCATACTTATCATACTTTGGACTATAATAATATTCCAAATTCACATTTTGATATATCTGAATTTGTCCTGTCGCGGATGTGAATATTCTGCGTGAATTTTGTGTTGATTTTCATTAGACAAATTATATTATTATTATTATTATTATTATTGTGTAAAATTAAGTGACAAGGGCTTCATTTTGCATCTCCTCCAATTAACTATTAATGACTATTTTACTGTTAATCAGCCGAAGCTCAGTACGTTTTTGTATATCTTTGAATAATCTGCTAATAGGTGTAAGTTAAATGTGAGTTAGGCAGTTTATGTGCTCAGATGTCTCTGTTGCCTGTAATGACACATCACACTACAGACACACTTAACCAATTTTATCATTCCTTTTGTCTCAAAGACAACTTAACTGAAAAGAAATGTAATGTGTATCTTTATAATGATCTAGTCACTGTAATTTTCGACTCTGCAAAGATTGAGCTTAAGAAGTGAAACAAATATCAAGGTGGGTGAGTTGGCCTTAATCGAAATGCCGATAATTCAGTCGATTGAAAGGGTACGTACCTGTTAATTTCAACTGGAAAGTAAGAAGCGTGACATGTCTTCAAACAGTATCATTGTCCTGTCTGCGTGATTCGATATATAGGTGCCTTGAGGGGTCAGTTTCCTTGGCCATCAACGTCAAGCACAAAAACAAACAGCATCTGATTGAAAAATTTCTGTGCCTGCAGAGTACTATTGAGTGTAGTCAGGTTTCCTTACGGGACAAATTGTTTTCTTGTCCTTTTGTCGTAAGGCGTGCAGTTGTACTTAAAAACCTACTGGAGACTTGATTATACAATTTACATGAAAGATATGGGAAGGAGACATTAGATTAGTTTTGTCATTGAAAAATGTGGATGTAGATATACACGTATGTGTTCATTTTCCTATCACTTCCTAGATAAAGTGCTTGTTTCCTGTCCGGGTTTTCTCAAAATTAACTGTGCCAAGAAAATGAAATACAGTATTCCTAATGTCACACACATTTGATTAACTCTTAGTTTTTTTTAATTAGCTTAGTGGGGTTGGAGTCCTACTTGGTCCACTCGGCACAGCGGCCACTGATTGGCCTATTGTACCTGCTCCGGGTGATTACGATGATGGAGAATTTGGTGGAATGAAGATTGGCAGGGGAAACCGAAGTACTCGGAGAAAACTCGCCCCAGCGCTATTTTGTCCACCACAAATCCCACTTGACCAGACCCGGGATTGAACCCGGGCCGCTGAGGTGGGAAGCCAGCGACGACTAACCGCTTGAGCTATGGAGCAGGCTTTTGATTAACTCTTAGTTTTATACTTCCGAAAATTTTGCATTCAAATTTTATATAAAGTGAAAAATATGTTTAATATCTTTCGTACTTGACCGTATGTTTCAGTTTTACCCTATTTTCGACTTTGCTTTCTACACACATACTGCATTTTACTCAGTCCTCTAAAAATAAACTTTCAATATGTGTTCTGGCACTTTCTGACTGTCTGGCTTATGATACTGTGAAGTCAGGTTAGTGGGTGACAGCGTTTTAGAAAAATATATAGCCTCCAACTCATTCTTTGTGTGTTTCTCCGAAACGTCGGCATCCACATGTAAAGATAGACTGTGTATTAACCCAGAATATCATCACAATCTGAATTAACATTTTTTCAAGCCATTAGGTTATCTACATGTTCCATTTCAGCTTTATCTTGAATCTAATTTATTTTCTTACGTGAACTGAGATGTAGTTAGATTTTTGGCTTTAATTTAATTGACAACATAAGAGTTGTACTTTGTTTATGTTGCAGGTTTTACACTGACAAAACTGTTCATTCCTCACATGACGACTTCTCGCCAGTTGCGACTCTGTCGTTAGGTCGAAAACAATTTGCTATGCGCAGGTTAGTTCTATAGTCATAAAGCGTGTGATTACCATAAAAACCGTGCCCGCTTACAGTCAGACAATAATGCACAAGTAAGTTAGTGAAATAATCTCAGTTCAGAGAAGTTGTGTAATAATATCCACGCAAGTACTCGTATGGCGCAATAAATGGTTAGCTTAGACGTGACTGAGCGAATGGAACAGCTTAAACCGCAGAAAATTTTGACAATATACAGGCGTTTACATAACGACTACATTTAGTTAAATTTTTTATTTCTCCATCCCCCATTGAGAAATTTAACCATGAAATATTGATGATTCTGTTTGTCATGCAGTGAGTGTGAAACTTAAGACTGTGACGCTAAAGGAGGACACAGATACTCGTTAAAGAATAAAGCGATGAAAAGAAACAAAAAACGTGTGGATAAATTGGATATGAGGAACCGTACAACACGTGTTCTTCCTCAGGTCCTAGTTATTAAGAGTGATCAAATTAAGGCTGATGAGATGGACACTGCATATAACACTGGGAATTTGGTATAGAAATTCTTGGTGGCTTATGCATACATGAGAGGATAATATTGAACATGTTCTTAACGAAGTAGGGCTTAATGGAGTTGGCTTTTTCAGCTGGCTTAGTGTATGGTCCAGTAATGGGATTTTGTGAACACTCGCATATGGCTTCATAGCGTGATGCCTAAGTACAAGGATAACAGTTTACTTTGTATGCCCTGCGCTGCTTATCAGACTATGTAATGTACGATTAAAACCGAGTTTTTACTTTTTTCAGTTTATATGACAATCATATATTTATACATTTCTTAAAGATGAAGTCGGCGAGGCCAGGCGATTGGTCCAAATCTGTCGATCCATTTCCCAGCCATTCTTCTGTCCAGGTGATTCCTAAAACCGCGACAGAAATGTGGCGGCGTCCCATGTTGGAGGATTAAAATTCGCTTAGTGGGAAGTGGAGTCCAACTGGGTCCACTCGGCACGGCGGTCACTGATTGGCCTATTGTAGCCTGCCCCAGGTGATTATGATGATGGAGAATTTGGTGGAATGAAGATTGGCAGGGGAAACTTGGAGAAAACCCGCCCCACCGTCAAACACAAATCCCACTTGACCAGACCCGAGATCGAACCCGGGCCGCCACAGTGGGAAGCCAGCTACTAACTGCTTGAGCAATGGCGCGACCTATGTTGGAGAATAGTTTGAAGTGGTAATTTTAACTACACGCTAGCAGCAGGAATTAATTTACGCGGACTTCCTTCGAATGCCTCTCTAACGAGATTGACATTTTCTTGAGAGATTCGTGTCTTTCCAGTAGAGTTTACATGCGACAGGCTACCTGTAATCCTCAGTTTGTTGTGTTGTTCCAGAACCGAAAGCTTTTCCGTACAGGAGATTGACGTCCATTTGCGTTCTAAAACGACGCTGGACAGCCGTANTTTGGTTGTGGTTCTGTATGGGTGTGAAACTTGGCCTCTGACATTAAGGGAGGAACATAAACTGAGGGTGTTTGAGAACAGGGTGTTGAGAATATTTGGACCGAAGAGAGATGAAGTGACAGGAGGTTGGAGAAAACTGCATAATGAGGAGATTCATAACATGTACTCTTCTCCAAGTATAATTAGAATGATCAAGTCAAGCAGGATGAGGTGGGCAGGTGATGTAGCACGAATGGTGGAGACGAGAAATGCGTATAGGAGATTGGTGGGAAAGCCAGAAGGAAAGAGACCACAGGGAAGACCAAGGCGTAGGTGGGTGGACAATATTAGAATGGATCTTAGAGAGATGGGATGGGATGGTATGGATTGGATTGATCTTGCCTAGGATAGGGACCAGTGGAAGGCTCTTGTGAACAAGGTAATGGACCTTCGGGTTCCATAAAATGCTGGGAAATTCTTGAGTAGCTGCAGAATCGGCGGCTCCTCCAGAAGGGCTCAGCTCCATATCAAGAGCAACGTTTGTGGATAGAGGGTGTCGCGTGGTCAGCACAACGGTTCCCAACGGCCGTTAAGCTCGGTTTTCTAGACCGGAGCCGCTACTTTTCAATTCAAGTAGCTCCTCAGTTATCCTTGCGAGGCTGAGTGGACCCCGTTCCAGACACACTACTTCTAAAAAAATCTGGTAGCGCCGGGAATCAAAGCCGGGATCTCTGGATCTGTAGCCAGGAACTCTGACCACTAGACCACAGATTCGAATTACCTGTTAGAGATTGTATGCCAAAATCTAAAGCAATCGCACGCCAAAGGTAGATACTATGTATATGTTACACACTTATACTGCAATTTAAGTAGAAATTGTGGACATATCAAGATTACATCTAAATGTATGAATAAATTTTAATTTGTAATGAAGCAGAATTGCCTTTATGTTGGAGTATGCTCTGAGGGTTTCTAACGGATAGATTTATGTGTTTTGTGATATCCTGTGATTCTCTTAGAAGCACTTTTCCATATAGGACACAGCCGTGCGAACAATGTGAGAGAGAATGAAATTACCACAAAAGCATGCGTCTCGCCATTTCATCAGTGTAGCATTGTTCATCATGTAGAAAATAGAAAGGTTGCAGTTGAATGGGATTATCAGCCACGTGTTCTTTATGTGTGTCATCCATATCTCCGTTCCTTTGTTTATCTGCCTTTCTGTCGGTTTGTAACTTCGTCAGTCTTGGATGGACGGTCATATATTTTGCTTACAGTAATTCAGCACCAGTTTCCACGCGTTGCTGTTGCTGTAAACACATTCCTCTTGGACTTAATTCATGCCACGTTCTGATTATTCGTATCTACCGTAAAAAAGGCGTTGCACACGTGTAAGGCTACACACGATGTCCTGTCTGCATAAGCAATAGCAGCATATCCTCGTAGACTTACAGGGTCTAAGCGTTTTAGTCAGATTCCTGTTATGCGGGTCAAGTCAGTGTTTATGAACCAGCTCTCAAGCCAGACATTTCTGCTACGCTGCACTACACGAGCCTACAAATATCATATTCATTCCCTCATTACTTCCTTTATTGATTTTCTTTGTCTCTATTTATTTATCTCTCTTTATTGCTTTCCGTTTTCTCTCCTTGCAAGTGTTCCCAGCGTTCCATTAAATTGTTCAGCATAGATTTTGTCAACGGTCGACCTTAATTCTCTTCCATTTGCAATACGTCTTGTCAGAAGAATTCCAGGAAGTACGGGACAAAATTAACATGCCCAGAAGATTGCTTTTTCCCTACATTTGTCTTTTCTCCACTGGGCTTCTCGTTATGGATTTTCCCTGTATTATGAACGATTCTAATAGTTTTCCTTTATATTCTCGGTTCGAGAGACATTTTCTGAGAAAATCGTGTTTACTTTTATCTATTTTTTCTACTATGCATGTTAGCCAAGGATAATGAAATGCACCCTGTTTCAAACAGTGACATCACGAAGAAACGTCATACCCCTTTCTGCGGCTTTTACACATATCAGTGACGGCTAGGGCGCTGCCGCGTCTCTCCCAGTTCATGTTACTAGTTCTTGCACCCGGTGTTCCAGAAAGTGTTACCCATTGACTTCTTCGGTTTTAGGTTTGTGTTAACCAACTGCTTAAAGGATGAAATACGTATGTAATTTCGAAGCCTGTACTTTATGCCCATCTCCTGAGCACGTGATAATGAACTTCAAAGACCTGGAAGCTGCCAAGTTTTTACCTTGACCTCTAGAAGAGCCATTTGTAGGCCTATACTATGAGAATATTGGAGGGTAGTTGAACCAGGTCGAATTTTGCCTAAAGTGGAGTTAATATGTAATGTAGGCTCAGTGTTATAAGTTGTTCTGTCGCTCATTGGTTTAAGGGGTTTGAGAGCGATATATACATATTTATGTCTGAGAGAGATACAGGAACTTAGAACTGCTGGGAAAATAACATAATATGGATTTTCATAACGTACACCTTCAGCGACTATTGTCATACTGACTAAATAAAACATATGCCGTGGGGGACGTAGAGCACGCATGAGAATATGTGAAATTTATATAAAAATTTGATCCGGAAGTCTAAAGAGAAGTCGCTACTTGAGAGACCTGGAGGTATGTTGGAGGACATGATTAAAATGGATCTTAAATTAATGTGAGGTGAGAGTGAGCTGGATTCATGGGAGTCCTGAGGGCAGTAGCGGACTTTTGCGAATGAGGCAAAGAATTTTAAAGGCCGGGAATTTCTTGATCAGCTGAGCGATTCTCAAGTAAAACTCTGTTTTAGAGGAGTTGCTTTCTTCAGTCTGAAATTGAATAGGAATGTAATACTGTTATTGGTGCTGAAAGTAAGGTACCGCCCCAACAACCGCCCGACGGAACTGAGTATAGATGAGGCCGGCTTTACTATTTAATTCGGCAATTACTTCTGTTTGGCATAAGGGATAATCGCCTGCTCAGTGGAAGGAGTCTATTATTGTACCAGTTCACAAGAAGGGTGATAAAACTGACTGTAGTAATTATCGGGGGATATCACTGCTATCAACTTCATACAAAATTTTATCCAATATTCTTCTCTGAAGGTTAAGTCCACACATAGATGAAATTATTGGGGATCATCAGTGTGGGTTTCGACGTAACAGATCAACTACAGATCAGATCTTTTGCATTCGTCAGATATTGGAGGAAAAAATGGGAGTACAATGAGACAGTACATCAGCTATTTGTAGACTTCAAGAAAGCCTATGATTCAGTTAAGAGGGAAGTATTTTACAACATTCTGATAGAGTCTGGGATACCCATGAAACTAGGTAGACTGATTAAAAAGTGTTTAAACGAAACGTATAGTAAAGTCCGTATAGGTAAATATTTGTGTGATAGATTTCCTATCCAGAATGGTGTAAAACAAGGAGATGCTTTATCGCCACTCCTTTTCAAATTTGCTTTAGTATATGCCATTAGGAAGGTCCAGGAAAACCAGGTGGGACTGAAATTAAATGGGACATATCAGCTGTTGGCCTATGCCGATGATGTGAATCTACTGAGTGGTAATGTAGATACCATAAAGGA